TATTTTCAAATGTCCAATTATGAAGTATATAATGTGCCAAATGGTGGCATGGTATTTCAGTCAGAATTGGGTTTACTTCTAGATTGGTCGGAAATCAACTAAGTGACCTTACATAAATCATTTGACCTCCCAAGACTCCATTTCCTCATTTAAATGGAAAAGATCACTGACTCACAGGATTTTGTCAGAAATACACAAAACTTAGAAGGCACCTTTAAAATCCTAAACAAATATGTTATTTTAAATTCTTGATAGGCTTTTGAGTATCAAGAAAACCATGGTACGCCAAACAAAGGAAAAGAACCATATAATCATCTCTATTGAAGTAGTAATGTAGAATTTGTTTAATGGGAACAGAATTTGCTTTGTAAGTTTCTGCTGAAAACATAGTAAAAGACTATTTTTTTTAAAAAAGGAAATTTTAATTCACCTTTCTTTGAATTAAGTACATTGACTACTTCTAAATAATTTTAACAATACTTGATTGCTGCAGCGATATTATTTTGATCACACCAGAAAAGAGAAATTCAAACAGACATTTGTTCACCACTGTTCATAATAGCATTTACAAGAAACAAAAGGTGAAGACAAACCAAGTGTCCATGAATAAGTAAACCAATAAATAAACTATATTACACACACAACTCCATTTGTCTGTTAGTCTGTCCTATTACGCTGATTTGTGTATTGGTGTGGAAGCCATGGCACTGGTGTTTCAAGGCCAGCAGGGTCACCCAAAGTGGACAGGTTTCAGGGGCGCTTCCAGACTCAGACAGACAATGAAGGACTTGGCTGCCCACTGCGGAGGAAGGAGCCACCGAAAACCTTATGCCAGGCTTTGAAACTCTGTCAGAGACTGAAGGCGTAAGGAATGGAAGCAGACCTTTGTCAGAGACGGTGCCAGAAAGGGGAGACGATTTCTCTCGGAGTAGAGTCAGCAATGGTGATGTGAATTACTGTATATACTCGTGTATAAGCCAAGTTTTCCAGCACATCTCTAATGCAGTTTTTTGTGGTAAAATTGGGTGCGCTGGCTGATTTTCAGGTCAGCTTATACTCGAGTATGTATGGTAGGTAACACCTGTGGAGTGGAGCTTCGGGATCTTCATTTGCTGATAGGGCATGACTCAAGGTCAGGAGAAACAACTGCAAAAATCTGCTAATGATGGGAATTTGGTGTGTGTGACGTATGGGAAAATGGAAAGTGGACAAAAATGAAACGGAGTGGATAAAGATCGATATCCTTGGTAATAGTGAGTTAAAATGGATTGGTGTGGGCCATTTTGAATCAGAAAGTCACATGCTTTATTATGCTGGGAATAACACAAGAGGAATGGCATTCATTTATTGTCCAAAATCACATCACGAAATCAATCAAGAAGTACATTGCTGCCTATGGTAAGATTATATCTAAACATCTTCAAGGAAATCCAATCAATACAACTATTATTCATGTTTATACACCAACTATTAAAGTTAGTAATAAAGAAATTGATGAATTCTATCAACGTTTTCAGTCATGTAACCAAGATGCATTGATAAATTATTGGCTATTGGAATGTGAAAGTTGGAAACAGAGGAAGGAACAGTAGTTGGAAATGCAGACTTGGTGATAGAAACAAAACTGGAGATTGCATGATAGAATTTTGCAAAACCAACGACTTGTTCATAAACTGTGGACAGCCTTGAGAAGAAAGGGAAGTCCAGAGCACTTCACTGTGCTCGTGGGGAACTTGTACAGGGACCACGAGGCAGTTTTGAACAGAACAAGGGCATACTGCATGGTATCAAATCAAGATATATGTGTCACGGTTGTATCCTCTCACCATACTTATTCAATCTGTATACTGAGAAAATCATCAGTGAAGCTGGATTATATAAAGAAAGTGTGGCATCAGGATTGGAGGAATGCTTATTAGTAACCTGAGATATGCAGATGACACAACCTTGCTTGCGCAAATTGAGGAGAACTTGAGGATTTTGACCCAATGTCAAGACCAAAATGCTCACAACTGGACCAATAGGTAACATCATGATAAACGGGGAAAATAAAGTTGTCAAGGGTTTTGTCCTAGTTGGCTCCACAAGCGAAGTTCATGGAAGCAGCAGTCAAGAGATCAAAAGGTGTATTGCATTCGGTAAATCTGCTGCACAAAAGCTCTTTAGAGTATTGAAGAGCAAG